CGATGGATCACCTAGATCGGTCACGGCAACATTATGTGATAGTAACTGAAAAGCTACTGATCACCCGTAGCTTGCTATTCCTGCGCAACATGCATGTATGAGGTCTCAAGCACGCGGGTGGGGAGGATGAGGATTAAACTGCACTGAACCGACCGATCTGAAAGAGCTTGTGTATTTCTATCTCTCCGCCGCAATATTTCATTTTATTTCAAGCGGAATCGCTAAACAAAAAACATGGTTTGCTTTCAATTAATATTGATGATAAGCCGATTAAAGGCCGACCATTTTCGGTTAAATGCATTTTTAATGGAGCTCACAAATCATGCTAATTTTACGCAGTATATGTAACAGATTGTTCGTACAACTTTTCGAAAATAAACGATTTTAGATATAAGATCCACTTGATACTAGATCAACTCGGTTGCTCTATAACTGTGACATAAAATGTACTGCTGAGTGGCGTAACTAATCCATATGTTACAAGGAATACTACTGTCTCTTAGTGGTTTAATTCGAGCTCATCACCCTGATGATTGCACTCTCATCTTCCCACTTCGTTGGGACCGGATGTGTCTGTCCCACTATCATTTCAACTCTCAAGGTTTAGAGCTCCGGTCTCCAAAACAACCGCGAGATTTCTGTTTGAATAACCCCCTCACCCTTTGGAAATGATTCCAATCAAGTCCTCAATATTCAATGGAACTAAGGTCCATGTTAGATGATCCGCGGATGTAGGCCACACACTCTAAGGCATGCTATTTTATCCGCTGGGATCTAAAACCATGGAATCGTTGGGTTTACTATGTGATTGTCAACCCAAACACACACAATGCAATTAGTTTGTGAGGAAAGAAAATTTTCACATACTAATCAAGTAACTTTTACACTATATATCCTGGGTAGAAACCTGAACAGTGTATACATGATTGAGGACACCTCATCTCTATCATTGGTACTTTATTCGAAATAAAATTGTGGAATAGTGTCTTTTTATACGACTTTTTTTCACTACAAACGTTTTTTTACGAATACCTATTTCCCGGTCTTTACTGTATCTCTACAACAGAGCCCGCTTCAAGGATACGGTAATGTACAATACAGCTTCGCTTTGGTTCAAAATGCCATCGTTTTAAGCGTGTACATAGCAGAGCAAATAAAATGCAACCGAGAGGAAATCCAACACAAACGCACTCACTGACAATGAGGGCGCCACACACCGCACTCCCGGCCACGAATTCACACATCCCCGGGGCAGGCGAACATTTCAGTGCGACAACACATTCAATGTGCTAATAAAAACAGTTTGATTATGTAAGAATGTGCGCGCGCATGTGTGTGTGTTTGTCTGTGTCTGTGTGCGTGGACCCCGGTACACGACCCCGGTGAATCTGGAACCACGTGTTTGTTGTTGTCCAGCGGAGTGAAAAAGCCAAATGAATTCTGGGAAATGTAATGCAAGGTGTGTGTGTGTGTGTGTGTGTGTGTGTGTGTGTGTGAACCATTGTCGGGAGTAACAAAGCAACACCAGTGAAATATACGAGAATTTTCCGTTAGTTACTTGAGTGCATTCGTGTATGTGGCTGCTTTTCAAACTGGCTTCCGGTAGATTGATAGGCAAGTATGGATA